GTTAGTTGTTTTTTACTTTTGAACATCTGAATTAACGCCCCCCGTTTAATGGAAGAGCATATTTTTTGCTGGCCATTTTGACCAATTTTTTGGGCGCAAGGTTTATGCCACTACTGCTAAATCTAGGATAGGTTTGTTATTGAAATACGTATAACTAAATGAAATAATAACCATCGGTTCTTCAGCAAATATTTCTCTCCTTTCTTTTTTCGTTATTTTTTTCCTCGAAGAAGTTTTCCTTCAGCCGATTTTTACACGTCGACGTTTTCCTCACTATTGCTAGAAGTCAACAACGTCGCTGGTAAGGAAGACAAGATCCACAGATCCGGGTCAACCCGAACCCAAAATCTGAGAGAGCTAGCCCGACTTCTTTCCCCTCGGCCTCTACCTTCTGCCCAAACCTCAATCCAGCCCAGAAGCCACGGTTCAGCCCCATCGCCGCGCAATCGACTTGGGAGGGAATCAAATCTCGTTCGGTTGGTATGCAGCGAGTGTGGGAATCAAACATCGAGCAGCTGCAGGCTCACCAACAGCATAACCACTCTCGGGTCCTCAACACAGGGGCAACAGCATCACCAAGAGCACCGACGATGGGTCCTCGACACAGGGGCAACAAACCATATGACCGAGTGATATGAACCAAGAGACATCAATCATCCAAGATGCTTCAATGAAGATGTGAAGAAAATATTGTTGAAATTATCAAAAGATATTTCAATTCATGCCACATTGAAGAATAATGAAGTTTTATGTTATAAATTTTGAGTAGATTACAATCTAGAGTTATTGTATTTCATTTATGTATTTTAAGACTTTTTATTTACTAAGGTTACAATTACACAATGGTTAATTATGCTCATTAAGTATGAATATTACAACTCTTGGAATGCCTTTAATAGTTCCATTTTGAGGCTATATAAAGCCATCTCGGACATCCTACTGTGCTGGTGAGTTGTTGGAGCTTGTGCACGGCGATATTTGCAGGCCCATCAAGCCGGCGGCCCTAGGCAGCAAGACCCTCTTCCTCCTGCTAGTCGATGACAGAAGCCGCTTCATATGGCTGATCCTCCTGTAAGTGAAAAGTGGGGCGACATAGGCGATTAAGCGCATTCGAGCGTTAGCGGAGGCCGAATGTGGGAAGAAGATGTGAATGCTACGCACGGACAGAGGTAGAGAATTCACCTCAGCGAGCTTCAGTAACTACTGCGACGAGCTCGGCATGTAGCAGCGACTAACAATGCCCTACTCCCTCTAGCAAAACAACAAGATCTTTGCTGATGACGGCTGGGATACCTGAAAGATTCTGGGGAGAGGCGGTAATGACGACTGTCTATCTTCTCAATCGGTCGCTAATGTGAAGCCTAGACGGGAAGATGCCACATGAGGCCTGGTACAATAGAAAGCCAGTGGTACATCATTTTCGAGTGTTCGGATGTGTCGCATACATGAAGGTAGCGCGTTCCAACCTTGTCAAGCTCGATCCAAAGGGGTTGAAGGTCGTCTTCATCGGCTACAAACCTGGGAGCAAGGCGTACAGACTCTATGATCCTGCGGGGGGTGAGCCCACGTGTCTCGTGATGTCATCTTCGACGAAAGCACCTTCAGGCAGTGGAACGACGTGATCGAGACAGCCCACAACCCAAATCAATTCACGGTGGAGTACCTCGTCATCGAGCCAGAAGAAGGAGGAGCACAGCATCAGGAACCGTCACAGCCGCCAGCAGTTGCACCCCTTGAACCAGTGGAATTTGCAACACCACGGACTGTGGATTCGACGCTGGATGTCGATCACGATGAAGATCTGGTAGCCAGGTACTGGAGGATGGACGACCTAGTGGGAGGAGGTGAAGCCCCTAGACTAGCAGCACGCAAACTGGAACAAGAGGTGGCCGAACTGCATGTCATCAACGCAGATGAACCGAACACCTTCGCTGAAGCAGAAAGGAACCCGTGCCAGCTGAAGGCAATGCAGAAGGAGATGAAATTCATCACCGAGAACCAGACATAAAGTCTAGAGGATATGTCACTGGGACACCAAGTCATAGGGCTCAAATGGGTCTTCAGACTGATGCGAACGAAAAGGGAGAAGTTGTGAAACTCAAGGTCAGTCTGGTGGTGAAGGGCTACGTCTAGAAGCAAGGAGTGGATTTTGAGGAGGTATTCGCACCAGTGACAAAGCTGGAATCTACCCACCTATTGCTGGCAATCGCGGCACATCATTCCTGAGAAGTCCACCTCATCGACGTGAAACCCGCGTTCCTAAACGGAGAGCTGAAGGAGACTGACTATGTTCAACAACCACCGAACTTCCTGGACAACGACAACCCTGACAAGGTATTGTGCCTGCACAAGGCACTCTATGGGCTTCGGCATGCACCACGAGCCTGAAACACGAAGCTCGACAGTACCCTATTATCGCTAAAGTTCAAGCGCTGTGCCTCTGAGCATGACATGTACACGCCCGGCCACGACGAGTAGCGACTAATCGTGAGAGTGTATGATATAAACCAAAAAACATCAATCATACAATATACTTCAATGAAGATGTGAAGAAAATGTTGTCAAAATTATCAAAAGATGTTTTAATTCATGCCACATTGAAGAAGAATGAAGTTTGATTGTTATAAATTTTGGGTGGGTTACAATTTAGAGTTATTGTATTTTAAGACATTTTATTTACTTTAGGTTACATTTACATAATGGCTAATTATGGCCATAAAGTATGAAGGTTACAACTCTTGGAGTGCCTTTAATAGTTTCATTTTTTAGGCTATATAAAGCCATGTATATTGTATTGGTAAGAGACTTGGAAAATATAGAAAAAGAAGCATTTGTCCTCTTCTTTAGCCAATGGCTAAGTTTCTTTGCAATTCTATGTAGTTTAGGTTGCATGTAGAATCATTCAAGCTCGACATGATTAATCTTGCTTGTGGAGTGATTCGAATCTCAAGCAAGTGTTCTTGCCTTGAGATATTTGATCAACAAGAATCATTCAAGCTAGACATGATCGATTTTGCTTGTGGAGTGATTTGAATTTCAAACAATGTTCTTGCCTTGAGATATTCGATCAACAAGGTAATCCGAATCTTACTCCCCTTGTAGTGGTTCCTTATCTTATCAGTGTACGTCGATGACCTCATAATCACTGGAGGCGACATGGAAGTCCTCGGAAGATTCAAGAGGGAGATGTCAAAGAACTTCAAGATGAGCGATCTTGGCATGCTCAGCTACTACCTCGACATCGAAGTGCAACAGGGTACTACCGGCATCACCATCTGCTAAAGTGCATATGCGAAGAAGCTGTTGGACACAACTGGGCTTGTGGACAGTAACCCTATAAAGACTCCAATGGAGGGCCCGACTCCAACTAAGGAAGGCCGGCACTATGACGGCAATTAATGCCACCAATTACCGCAACATTGTCAAAAGCCTGCGCTATCTGATAAACACACGTCCTGACCTTGCTTACTTAGTTGGATACGTAAGTAGATTCATGGAAGAACCTAGGGAGGAGCCTCTTGTGGTTGTCAAGCGCATCCTGCACTATGTGGCTGGAACCAGAGGCTGGGGTGTGAGATACTGCACCAGGAGAGGAAAGGAGAAGCTTGAGCTTGTTGGCTACAGCGATAGTGACATGACCGGTGACGTTGATGATCGTAAGAGCACCAGTGGGGTGATTTACTTCCTCTCAGGCAGTGCGATCTACTAGCAATCAACAAAACAAAAGGTAGTTGCTTTGTGATATGAACCAAGAGACATCAATCATACAATATGCTTCAATGAAGATTTGAAGAAAATATTGTTGAAATTATCAAAAGATATTTCAGTTCATGCCACATTGAAGAGAAATGAAGTTTCATGTTTTGAATTTTGGGTGGATTACAATTTAGAGTTATTGTATTTCATTAATGTATTTTAAGACTTTTAATTTACTTTAATTAAGGTCATTTAGTTCATGCCTAGAATTGATTAATTATTTATATATTTTTCAATCTTTCCATTTATTTGTTGATTGTCATTTCCACCCTCCTTGGCCTTTTGACTTTGTTCTCATTTTATTACTAAAGATCATATTTAGATCTTAAAAAAAACAATATAGAATTTTACTTCTTAATATTGTGTTTATACATAGTTAGGAAGTGAATTTAGTCAAAATCCTTTCTTTCTTTTTTTTTAATTCATTTGGCATGTGCAATTCTACTAAAAAATATAATAGTCCCTTATTTGTTTGATTGTTTATTATTTTATTTTTATGTTATTTTACAATTAACTTGTCATGATTGTCCATGCCCAATCCCAATGGACAACCCTTCGATCCGATCTGCCTGCCCTTATTGCACGGTTTAGAGAGCACTTGTGTATGTGATGTCAGCCCAGCCTCGAAAATCAAGCTTTGCCCTGCTTATTCACTCGGACAATGCTCCCCCGTAGCAATGCTCCCCCGTAGCGTAGCGATGAAGAAGATGATCATTTATTTAGTAGGTGAACAGTCGAAGAACCACTCTAACGAAGAATGGAGCTTCTTTGTTTTGAAACATATTCTTTTGCGCAACAAGCTGCTGGGTCAATATCCCTTGCTATTAAATCTGCTCCAGTTATCTCATCTATAGAAGAAGCTGGTATAGAATAGGTCGTCAGGGGTGGGGGCTTTACCGGGGGGACTAACTAGTAAAAGGCCAAGGAGTACTGTCCACTCCAGCCCAGCCCCTTAGAATAGTCCCATTTTTTCCTCCACGCAGATAAGGGGCTAGCTTGCTACTATAAGAATTGCTTTATCCATATATTAGCTTACCTTCCCAAGTGGCCACACGCTTAACCGCGAAATTCTGATGGGATCCGGTGCATTAGTGCTGGTATGATCGCACCCGACATGCCATGCGCACAAAATCGGATTTAACGCATGCGGGGCGGCATGATCGAAACGCGATGGGCGTGAGCGGGGGAGGTTCTCATTTGTAGAGAAAGGAAGAAAAGAACTGGGAGAAATTGAAAGAAAAAAAGGGGTGCAACACGAGGACTTCCCAGTAGTTGGGTGCTTAGTACTACTCTCGCCCAAGCACGCTTAACTGCGGAGTTCTAATGGGATCCGGTGCATTAGTGCTGGTATGATCGCACCCGATATGCCATGCGCACAAAATCGGATTTAACGCATGCGGGGCAGCATGATCGAAACGCGATGGGCGTGAGCGGGGGAGGTTCTCATTTGTAGAGAAAGGAAGAAAAGAACTGGGAGAAATTGAAAGAAAAAAAAGGGTGCAACACGAGGACTCCTCAAGTGGTCACCCAACTTAGTACTACCCTCGCCCAAGCACGATTAACTGCGGAGTTCTGATGGGATCCGGTGCATTAGTGCTGGTATGATCGCACCCGATATGCCATGCGCACAAAATCGGATTTAACGCATGCGGGGCAGCATGATCGAAACGCGATGGGCGTGAGCGGGGGAGGTTCTCATTTGTAGAGAAAGGAAGAAAAGAACTCGGAGAAATTGAAAGAAAAAAAAGGGTGCAACACGAGGACTCCTCAAGTGGTCACCCAACTTAGTACTACCCTCGCCCAAGCACGATTAACTGCGGAGTTCTGATGGGATCCGGTGCATTAGTGCTGGTATGATCGCACCCGAGATGCTATGCGCACAAAATCAGATTTAACGCATGCGGGGCGGTATGATCGAAACGCGATGGGCGTGAGCGGGGGAGGTTCTCATTTGTAGAGAAAGGAAGAAAAGAACTGGGAGAAATTGAAAGAAAAAAAGGGGTGCAACACGAGGACTTCCCAAGTGGTCACCCAACTTAGTACTACTCTCGCCCAAGCACGCTTAACTGCGGAGTTCTGATGGGATCCGGTGCATTAGTGCTGGTATGATCGCACCCGCGATGGGCGTGAGCGGGGGAGGTTCTCATTTGTAGAGAAAGGAAGAAAAGAACTGGGAGAAATTGAAAGCGGGGGAGGTTCTCATTTGTAGAGAAAGGAAGAAAAGAACTCGGAGAAATTGAAAGAATAAAAGGGGTGCAACACGAGGACTTCCCAAGAGGTCACCCAACTTAGTACTTCTCTCGCCCAAGCACGCTTAACTGCGGAGTTCTGATGGGATCCAGTGCATTAGTGCTGGTATGATCGCACCCGACATGCCATGCGCACAAAATCGGATTTAACGCATGCGGGGCGGCATGATCGAAACGCGATGGGCGTGAGCGGGGGAGGTTCTCATTTGTAGAGAAAGGAAGAAAAGAACTGGGAGAAATTGAATGAAAAAAAGGGGTGCAACACGAGGACTTCCCAAGTGGTCACCCAACCTAGTACTACTCTCGCCCAAGCACGCTTAACTGCAGAGTTCTGATGGGATCCGGTGCATTAGTGCTGGTATGATCGCACCCGACATGCCATGCGCACAAAATCGAATTTAACGCATGCGGGGCGGCATGCTCGAAACGCGATGGGCGTGAGCCGGGGAGGTTCTCATTTGTAGAGAAAGGAAGAAAAGAACTCGGAGAAATTGAAAGAAAAAAAGGGGTGCAACACTAGGACTTCCCAAGTGGTCACCCAACTTAGTCCTACTCTCGCCCAAGCACGCTTAACTGCGGGTTCTAATGGGATCCAGTGCATTGGTGCTGGTATGATCGCACCCGACATGCCATGCGCACAAAATCGGATTTAACGCATGCGGGGCAGCATGATCGAAACGCGATGGGCGTGAGCGGGGGAGGGTCTCATNGCATGATCGAAACGCGATGGGCGTGAGCGGGGGAGGTTCTCATTTGTAGAGAAAGGAAGAAAAGAACTGGGAGAAACTGAAAGAAAAAAAAGGGGTGCAACACGAGGACTTCCCAAGTGGTCACCCAACTTAGTACTACTCTCGCCCAAGCACGCTTATCTGCGGAGTTCTGATGGGATCCGGTGCATTAGTGCTGGTATGATCGCACCCG